TTATATGACCTATGTAAATATTTTTACTGGCGATAAATGACGAACATAGTGCATTGAAAACGTGTGGTAAATAGTGATGATGATAGAATAGAAAAAGAAAATTTTACTCAATATTTATCTACATATACTCAAGATATTTTCGCAGTGTTACATGACTCATTATTGCCTTTTCAATAGATATTATAAAAGAGAAACGAATATATAAATAGTACGTATTTGCGCAAAATAAACCTGCAAGAATGAGTGAAAACGAATACTCATTGTCTTTACTCACGCTCCCTGTAGAGCTTTTCTATGGACTTTGTGATTATTTTGATACATTAACTATTCTTCTTTCTTTTCGCAATGTTTGTATACGCTTTTATACAGTTGCGAATAATTACAAACGATACAAACTTCAGTTTGTTTCAATGTCAAAATCTGACTTTCACCGTATTTGTCGAATTATTCGATCAGAAAATTTTATATCACTCTATCTTTGATATATCGATAGTGAAATACTAAGCCGGATTCAATCATTTCTGTCATTATCTAACACTCATCGATTGACTCAACTTCGCTTACTAAATATTTTAAAAGTTGAAGAATCTGATCTAAATACAATTTTGCGTCATATTACAGCAACTGCTCAAATTAGGTCGCTCCCAAGTTGTTCTCCATTATCGAACAATAGCTTTGAAACGTTAAGTCTTCTGTCATAGACTGTTACACAGCCTACTATTCGTCATCTTGTATTGAAGTTTGATCTTAGCGATAAAGATGAATTATCATGGCCTATTCGATGTACCATAGAAAAACTTGACATCGGATATTGTACAAGTGAACAACTCAGCTACATTTTTCATTATTCACCTTATCTTCACACATTGACCTTGTATGATTGTAAGGTGGATTTAATTGACCAAAGTCTCACTTCTTCTCCATTTTTACAATTAACAAACTTGACATTTCATCAGATTACAATGTCCATTGACAAGCTTGAATTAATGCTTTCGTTGACACCGTCTTTCACTTATCTTCGTCTATGAAGTTTTAATATTCATTTCAATTTTTTGTATCGATTATTTCGATGGGAATACTTCATTCGAGAGAAGTTACTCCGCCTTCAAAAACTCAAATTTTATCTTACTTGTGAGAATTTTAATATTAATCGTATCAAATTGTTAATAAAAGAATTTCGAACGCCATTCTGGCTTGAAGAAAAGCGTTAGATTATTAATAGTGAGTTTCGTGTTTCGTGTCCATGGCCTGAACTCACAGTCTATTCATCATCAAAGTCTCAAAAGTTTGTTCCGCATCAATATAGCTTTAATACAATATTTTGTTTAGCTTCTACAGCGATATATAATGATAATGTAAAGATCGACACCCATCGGCGTGTCATTCTGGATATGTCGAAGATAATAGCTTTCGAACATCGACAGATATTTTGTATCATTAAAATTTTTATTAATCTCGAGATGAGTGGTGCTTTTCGGTTAATAACATAGAGTCTTTTTAAATCAAAAATGAAAAGTTGATTATCACGTAACATCAGTTTAATAAACTAAAGAACAGAATATATTTTATAGATAATGTAGATATCTCAGTTGAAATAAATTCTGATTAATCTATTTACGCGAGAAAAACTTAGTTTTTATTTGTTGTGAGCAACTTTTGATCAAAATTTCACGAAATACTTTGTTTTCTTTTGTCACTGCAACAGATCTATTAATATCGATATTTGTTTTAGCACATATTATTGACAGTTGTATTTTTACGTGATGTATCCAAGCTGCTACTGGAAATTGACGAACAAGGATCATTCAATTCACTAGAATTTCTTTCAATATCGAACAATGTCAAATTTTCTTTTGATCTCTGGTTAATCGTCAAGTCTATCGATTTAATTGATTCACATGGTATTCAATCTTTGCTGTGTCGACTTTGGAATGTTCAATCGCTTGGTATATGTTCCAAAGATGATTCTATTACAATAATTATATATGATAGATTTTCTTATTTACGTTTTCATATCGAGCGATTCAAAATGAAAACAGCAGATTTGAATTGTATGAAATGTATTATCAGTCGAGTCAAACACGTGTCAAGTATTCAATTTCTGTATGATTTTGTGTTGCCGAATGTTTTGACAGTGATCAAGAAATGGCTGACAAGGAGAAAAGAAGAATTCTTCATTCAACAAGATGAAATTTCATTGTCGATATGGTTTCCCTTAAGCAGGCCTCGCAGCCGGTATACTTTCCTGATTTTTTAAAAACGTCCTGTTTTTCCTACTTTTGGCCGGAAATCCTGATTTTCTCATGATTTTTCATTATTCATTCGAACAGTCATTATATTTCCCTTATCATGACATATTATAATATTCTTAACTTAATTTATTTTCAAAATGCATATTAAAATATTATACATCATACAATAACTTTAACAAAAACAATACAATTTGTAAAAATAATGTTTACTTTCATCATTCATTTTTTTTGTTTTTTTTCTCAATCGGTTTAAATTTCCACTATTTTCAAGTAATTGAGCTTTCAAAATAGATAATTTAGCTTTCGCAGCAGTCATAAGTAATTCAGCTATACCAACATCATTAAAATCTTTACTATTCACGACTGTGGCAAGTCTTGTACTTCCTTCTTTCAACATTCTCGTTGCACTCACTAAATCTTCTTGTAAAATGATTTGGTGGTTTACTAATTCGATTTCTTTTTCTCCTAAATGTCCATGTAGTGATCGATACATTATTTTCTTCGTGATTCAAAGCGTTGAGTTTATGATACATTCATTATTGTTTTTTTTTCTTGCTTCTCTCTATGATTACATCCAGAGATGAGCAAGTCAGACGTTTTCACAAGTCAAGTCAAGTCAAGTCATGTTTCAAGTCAAAACTTATTATAGAAAATCCTTCTATTGAATAAAACTTTGGAATACAAATTTCCGGTTATTAAGAATTAGTTTTTAGCAAAACTCTCATCTGTAACTATATTTATCTTTTACATTCTGATTCTGTAATAAGACTAGTAAAATACAAAAAAAAGTATGTTGAAACCTCTTCATATATGCTTTTAGACTTGACTTGAGTTTATGGCTTAATTTCAAGTCAAGTCAAGTCAGTCACTTATGAACTTGACTTGCCCATCTCTGATTACATCAAAGTATTTAACATTATCCAGTCAGATTTCTTCTCATACTTTGATGGTTTTTCATCATCATACACATTGGATAATGGCATGAAAAAAATGCTATAAAAATAGGGAATAGTAATTGCAAACATTTACTATCATCATGTGTTAATGCTCGTTATTCTTTCACAACAATAACATAAGGTATTCTTGTTGTATTTCTATGAATAGATCCTGTACCTATACATGTACTATTACCATTTTTATTTTTCGATAAAAGTAATGATTGATTATTTGATGCTGTTAGTGGAATAGAATCAAACACATCTTTCATACATTGAATATGTTTTGGTCTATTAAAATGTTACTTTAAATCAGCCCATCCTCCATTAGCACAACTAAGATCACCTGAATTACATACGATACGTTGAAATGAACTGGTAGTTTTACTTTGTTAAAGCAATCGAGAACTCACTCTACCAGTATTATCTGATTTTTGCAACTATTTTGAGCAAAACGTTGTATTTTTCAGCATCAGAAAATATTTCGTTGAGGGGGGGGGGCATTTTTCAAAATCAAATCAATGTAAGATAATAGTTGACTTATGTATGCAGAGAATAACAACACAGAGTAAAAATATGACAATAGAAAAGAACGAAAAATATATAAACCTGAATAAAACATTAAGTTTATATATAATTTATACTGTTTTAAACATCTTTAGTGCTTACTTGTAGCAACCTGCATTTTGATTGTTACAAGCTGTTATTATTGCACTTTCTTTGACGTCGATTTTACTCGAGAAAAGCAATATTAGAAGAAAGTTTACCTTTCCTGATTTTTATGAAAATTCCTGTCCTGCTTCCTGACTTTGAAACACATGCCGCTGCGACCCCTGCCCTTAAGAGACAGATAGATTTAGTCTTCTAATAGTGGTGATATAACCATCAGTGTACGAACGTAACTTGTTAAATTGATGACTGATGATTTTGTTCTTTATTTTCTTTTTGTGTTCATTATAAATTGTTAATAAATCTTGAACTATTCATGAACAACATATTTTAACTTTCTTTGTTTTTTCGGATGTATCTTACTGTTGTTTGTGACTTTCACACCCACTCACACCCTCGCTCTCATCGTTCTATTAAAGAAAGTCAATCTATGTTTGAACTACTTAATTCACTACCATTCATACTTAACATGGATCGTCTTCAATCGAGATTCATTGTTTTCAAACTCAATTTTGATACATTGATCTTTGTAACAATGATGTTGATGTTTATTCTTCGTTCTGTCGTATCTTCATAGAAAGTAAATTGTACAAACAGAAAAACGAGTGGAAATGAGTTATAACTAACTGTTTGTTTGTTTGATTTATCAATAATATACAAACTTAGTTATTTATACACACAAGCAGAAAAAAGAACGCTAGATAGAAAAAACCAAATTACTACCAGTTCAATATTCGTTACCATTTTCATAAAAAATCGCGATTTTTCGTCTTCTGCATTCATTACACTTCGGATTTTTGAGACGGCACAGGTTTCCAATTTTTTACAACTGGCTGTGGAGGAAGTTCCCAAGCCTTTATACGTTTTTCATCTGCTTCAATAATATTTAAAGTAATTTTATATATTATTAATCACTCTTTGCTTTTATCTCGTTCGATTCTACGTGTTGTTGCATGTGGTTGTATACTTAGTTTCTTTTCTTATGAGTAAAACACATGAAAAATAATAAGATTAAGACGAAAGATTTCTCTATATTATGAAGATTTTATTGAAAACTATGAATTATTTCTACACGTAATATCACAAAAAAAGAATTTTTAGAAAGGAAACATTTGATAAATGATAATACAGTATCTATGGAAGAGTATAAGAAAAAAAAAGATGAATATGTTGATGAGAAAAGATAAGAAATGAAACTAACTACGTAAGAATAGATACATGCAGAGCATGAATAAAGTTTTTTTTCATATAACAAAACTGTTCATCAGTTTTAGCTTTGATTACATTTAAGACAATAATATTGCCAATTATTAGTAGTTGCACCAGCAATACGAACACAGCATCCTCCATTGTTACCACAACCATAACCATTATTGCAATCAAAATAACTTGGATTGCCTGCAAAACCATTATGAACTCTAGTATAATTGCCACCAGGACAAAAAGTAGAAGCAGCACCAGCACAAACATTAGAACTAAGTTGACAAATGCCTGTACTACCAGCTTGTTCTACCCACTTATTATCATAACAAGTCAAACCACATGTAGTACTAGCATCATAGCGGGTACTTGGATTACATGAATCTGCACATTGAGTAGAAGCACCACAAATTGATTTAGCAGCAGCACGTTTGTCAATGTATTGGTGGAGATATTCTGCTACCAAGTTTCGTCGAGCAGCATAAGAATTGGCATAATCCATATCTTCGTTGCTGTTTTCTTGTACATTACAGTTTATTGTCGAGAATAAAGAGACAAGAAGTAAATAAGCTATTATTTGAATACCGCTCATTTTTCGAGTACTGATTGATTAGATGCGTAGATAAATAACCAAGGTGGAATGTATGCACAATGGTATTTTCATATGAATATTCTCATCCTTATATATCTATCGGACACACCATAGAGAGAAAGAGGGGGATTATAAAAAATAACATATTTTGATCTCACAATCATCCCTACTAAATATAAAACCGATACGCATCAATAGAGAAAACCTTGAAAAAAGTAACGACGAATATTATAAATCAAATAACGACAAAAAAATTGTCTTAATACGAAGAAAAAATTTTCTTATCTACACACGTGTCTACCATAGGTAAACTATTTTCGAAAGATATTTACGTGATTTTTCTATGAAAAATAGAAATATTAAAATAAATCATACGTGTTATCGAGTACGAAAAGATAAGTACTTGATTATCTTTTCAATATTATTAGATTAATATAGAGAATGATCGTGAAGAAAATAAATTCATATGATAAGATAATCGATTTATTAGAATAAAATCTATCATTCATTGAATATTCAAAAACTTCCGATTTCTCCAATAACGAGAATGTAGAATTAAGGAATTTATGAATGATTATTTTATTATTAAATATGATCAATCGAATAATATTTCTTTTCTTCTATAAATCTCTTGATTGTAATTCTATTTGTTTATTATACATAAATATCAATGAAAAATACCTGATAAATTCATATTATTAAATTTATTGTATTGATTTCAAAATAATATTTTTATCTGTTACATTTTTGCTAAAAAAATCTATTTTATAATTAAGAAAATTTTCTTATGGATGAATAATATTATTTGTATGTGTTCATTGTTAGAAATAGCATTTCGCCAGGACAGTACCGATATATTTTCATATCAAATGAAAACGGGATTGATGGATACAAAATAATGAGAGCAATCGCAACTTTTTTATGTCGAACTTCACAAACTTTCAGAACTTTTAGACATTTTGGTATAGAAAATATGTATATAATTTAATGAAGCCCGTTGAATTCTATCAAACTATGTAAAAATAAATCCAAGCAATGGTGAAAGATATTATTACCAGAAAAGAGGGTGTGGGTTGGTTATAATATAACAGACTCTTAACCCACACCCACCCACATTTAT